AGCAAGACAAGTATGAAAGATAATTAGCAAAACCACTCTATATCCATCTAGGTTTTTAATTTTTAATTTTTTTTCGGCTTAGCTTAGTCTATATAAGAGGTAAGAAAAAGCCGGATAGTCTTCTTAGCCTAGTGTTAAGATTTAACTTTTACAAGAATGACACCCAGCTCTGATGATGTCCATCATATAATGGATAAAATCTCAACAAGTTTTCACGCGAAACGATGGAGGAAATCCCGTGGACTGCGTCAACATGCATATCGTATAAAATTCAATCGGCTGCAGTACAACGAGTTTCATCCGTCCTCATCTGCTATGATCGACCAATGAATCTCTTCTTCCTGCACTTTCATACGAAATGAAGGTTCCCCTAACAATAGTAAAGCTAATTGGAACTTACTTAAATCACCATGTAACGGTGTGCTTGTGGTTTCAGATTGACACTGAGTCTACTTGTGATGATGCCTAGGCGAGGCTGGAATCTCATTCCACAATGGATAAGGTACGAGGCCAAGTGAAATTATTTGATATCGAAAGGCCTACGAATTTCGGTGCCAGGTAACTCAACTAATAGTCTTAAATCACTTCTAACTACCAGCTGGCTAGGCTTTAGTTCGAGATTTACTAACGGTTCCGATATTGCTCATATGAAAATTATATCTAAGTTTGAAAATATTTTAGGGGGATTTGCTAAGTTATCAATTATTTAAGGATACATTTGTGTTGGCTAAGAGTATAATAATTAATCGGCGAATAGGCTATCAACATTCAGTAGGAAATCCCCCATATAAATCATCTGTTAAGTTATATCAGACAACTAGGTTAAAGTAACTCATCTTTACAATCGGATTATGGCTTATCGGAAAATTAACTTTTTAGGTAGGACTCGCAAGCCTGAATTTTGTTGTGACGATGTTACCTTGCTCTGATAATGTCCGTCATATGACGGACGAAAGCTCAGCACATGTTCACCGGAATCGAAGGAGATTGCTTCGGAAACAGCGTCAGCATGAATCTTCCAGTAAAGCCAATCGA